AATGCAAAATTTGCCGTTGTTAGACAATTCACCTATGAATGTATCATAGAAAAAAAATTAGACTCGTTAAAATTTTGTGATCGTCTTGCTCGTTATAATGTAACACTCTTAGCATATTTGAATAGTATCATTGTTCCTGATGTTTGGAAAAATCGACTATCTAATAATGGTATTAGGTTATTGTGCAGTATGAAATTCTATCGAAATATTTTAAATTTACCGTATACTAGTTCATCAATTGCTGTTCAATCTAATGCCATTAATTATTATGATGGTGAAACACAGAAAGAAAATTCACTCGGTACATATGATCGATTTTCAAAACAGCAATCGTTCAATGGTAAAATTTTAATAATCTGTTCATTAGTTTTGTCACGAGGTGCTAAAAAATATTGTAACTAAGAGTTATTTTCAGAAACATTGATTTAGATTGATTCCACATTATGTAGAAAATAGAAAACGCAAATCTTTTTATTTTATTGTTAGGTAATCAGTCTGTCGAACAGATAACACATCCTAATTCTCATTTATCAAATATTACACAATCCATTACTTATTCAAGTTAGTAAAATCAGCATGTTATTATATAGTATATTTTATTCTAACTTTTTTTTTAGATCATCTTCTAGAACATGAAATTAATAATTTTCGTTCAAATACACTTACACAGAATTTCGTTAATTCTCTTGTCAATGGTAGCTCAATCATCGCAAGTCGAAAAGGTAAAATTAATCCGTAAATATTTTTTTCAACTTGTTTATTATTATCTGTTTAGGTAAAGTGTTCAATGTAGATCATACAAGTGAAGAAGAATGTATTCATTCAACATCAAACATTGAAAATAATGTTAAATATAGCAAATCTAATTTATCATCACAGCTGTATCATCCTAGTGTATCTCAAGAAGAAATTTTTATGAATTGGAACGACTTACGTAGTCATGTCATTGGTTTAAGCAACCCAGGAAAGAATTTATGTTATATTAATGCAGTACTTCAATGCTTAGCTGACACACCTCCATTTATTAATTGGTTATTTCAACAGAGTAAAATAAATTCCTGTACGTACAAATCTATTTTTGTTCTAGATTATTTTAATTTGTAATTGTATTCGAAATGAAAAACTTGAGACCACTGTTCTTTGTTATTACTTTCTAGCAAAGTACTTAGCCATATAGCTAGTAATATAAAATCAAGATTTGCTTTAGAATTTAATGAAATCTAATTTTAACGAGTCTAATTTTTTTTCTATGATACATTCATAGGTGAATTGTCTAACAACGGCAAATTTTGCATTATATGCGAATTAAAAAAAATTATCAATTCTCTTAATGTATCTGCGACCGAAGTTGTTAGCGACGAAAAGCAGCAATTTGTTGCATCTGCTGGTGTTATTAGCAAATATGTACCTATATTATCACCTGCTTTCAAGATTGGAGAACAAGAAGATTCTAGTCTTTTTATTACAAGTTTGTTGGATCATTGTGCAAGTTATTTATCTTCTTATTCAGCAACAGGCTCTACTGTTCCAATATCACAAACAGTTATTGATACAATATTTGGTATTAAACTTCTATCTACCATTGAATGTTCATCATGTTTAAAACTTTTTACTAAAGAAGAATTTGTTTATATGTTATCTGTTGAAATTAATAACATTAATAGTTTGTCTGAAGCACTTATACACTTCACTGATCAAGAAATATTGACAGGTGAAAATGCTTATCATTGTTCCAGCTGTGAAAATCTTGTTACAGCTAGAAAAGGTCTCACCATCCACACATTATCTGATATATTAATAATTAATTTTAAAAGAAGTATTACACTGAATAATAGAACTGCAAAATTATCACACAAGTTAAATTTCAATGAATTGTTGGATTGTTCTTCGTACATGACTTTTCAACAGTTCGATTCAAATAAAGAAAATATGGAAAATAATATATCTGATGATAATATTTATAAACTATATGCTGTTATATGTCATCATGGTGATAGTATTGAACAAGGTCATTACTGGTCATACATTCGAACATTAAATGATAAATGGTTTCTTGTTGACGATGCACACTATCGTGACGTACCATTAGTGGAAGTTTTAGATAATCCAAGTGCATTTATTTTATTTTATGGCAAAGTGTCATATAAAAACAAAAGACATGACACAGTCTATGAACAACGAGCACTGACATCCTTGTCAACACCACAAAGAAAACGTCATCAATCTTTGTCTATTTCTGATTGTCCAGTAAGATTAACAGTGTTACTCTTCAGCTATGTTGTGAGTCCTTTTTTTTCTATCAGCTCGTGTTAAATCAATCATCTAATTCAATTCAACCATCTAATTCTCAACAAGAACAAAATTGTACTGAAACTTCAACAATTTCAGCATCAAAAAACAGTTAGTTCGGATATTTTTTTAATTAGTTGTTTTATTAAGTCTTTTTTTTGTAGTTGAACGTCAATATGATTGTAAGTCAAAACTAAATAATATTTGTTTTAATTTTAATGAAAAGAAAATGTCGATTCAGGTGAAACTTTTGTAGCTGAAGGAACTGAAAGCAGTATCACAATTTATCGCAAATGTTTGAAGGATTCACCAAGAGAAAAAAATAATATTGATGATAGATTTTGTAAAGGTATAAATTATGTATTTTCATTCATCTCTTTTCATTGAATTCGTATTCAATTTTTTAGAATCATCAAAAAAATCAAAATCGTCAAATTTGTCACGTCTTTGGTCTCACGAATCGGATGAATCGGTGGTCAATATGTCGGATCTTGCGAATGTGGGAAAAGGTCTGTTTTATCTATTACGGATGAGTAAAGTTAATGTCAAGTTCGATTTTTGAACATTTATGCCAAGTCTTGTTTTGTATTGAAATAATACCTAGCTCTAAAAACATGTTAACATTATCTAATTTACTGTTCGATAGAGCACTGAAAAACGTCATTTATATTATAAAAAGAAATCTATTTTGCAACCGCAACTATATGTTGTTATTTGTTGATATAAATTTATTTTAAACAAAGAGTTTTATGGTTTAAAAGAGAAAAAGAAAATAAAAGGAGTTTCGCTTTCGAGCAATCATTTAAACAGAAAGAGGGCAACCGATGTTCAATATTGGCAGCCTAATATAAACTAATAATTGTTTTCATATTGCAATATTTGTATAAATTCTCTTTTTAAATACATAGAAACCACAAAGAATGTTGCAACTGTGGCAGCTGGTGTATCAATGGACGAAGTTTTTGAATCTACAGTACCACCGAATTATAACTTTCGATTAAACTCAAGTGAACTCATGAAAATGGTTCATATGCAAAATGAAGCATTAGAAAGAAAGAAACATCGTATGATGAAGCAAATCGGCTTATTATATGATTCATCATCTTCAACGTCAACAACTAAGTTATCAAAAAATGCATCACGATCAGATATAATTGATGAGATAAATAATAACATTCAAAACCAAAATAATAGTAGCAACAGAAGTAATCGCAAAGTTAACATTGAATACCTAAATTTAATTTCGCCGCATTTAAAGAAATACAATTCTGCATGTGGTTTATGTATCTGCACGCGCTATTTTGGAACCAATATCTCAAAATCAACAGCTCTTCTTCTGAAATGTATTCTTAAATGTAGTGGACCGAGTTGCAAATTTAAATGCAATCTTAATATCTTAAATAATGGTTATTGTTTTGCCATTACATTAAATCGAACAATTTTTCATCCTGTTAACGAACGAGTTGCTCGTCCAATTCGTGGTTCATTACGTCGAACAATTATGGAAAAATTTAAAGCTGGTGGTTCTGTGTATCGAATACACGCTCAATATGATGAGCAACGAACATCATCAGAAAGACAAGCTTATAATTATGATTTAATTGGTAAATCAAAAAAGGTGTTTAAGAAGATAAAATCTGAAGCAGTTGCTGAAACATTACTTGCACCCGACGTCACTTTAGGGATATTACAATTGCATGACAAATTACTTGAAGAAATAAACAGTGAAGGAATTATTAAAGGTGCATTACAAATAGTTCAATGTCGTCCATTTTGTGTTGTTGTTTTTACAGAAGCCTCAATTAGATTATATGATGCAATTGTAAATTGTCCAGAATCTGTTCTTTCGTGGGATGCAACGGGAGGAATTATCAAAAATTCATCAGCTAAACAATGCTTATACTACGAACTCACCATCTCACATCCCAACATAGTCAATGAAGATAGTTTAGTGCCTTTGACATTTATTCTTTCTGAATGTCAAACACTGTTTACTGTCATTCAATGGTTATCAACGTTCAAAGATTGTCATAGAAAAGTAAATATATTTTTTCTAGTATTTAGGTAGACTTTTTGTAATCCAGCAAAGTAATTTTATCCTCTTTGAGTCTGAAGAATAATTGACATAGAGAGAGAGATACACACATTAAATCTCGGTTTAAACAATACAGAAGTCAGTAGTTTTTGTAGTCGTTATTAACAGAGATAAGATCGAAAGCTGCGGCTTTACTGTGCAAATATCAAATGAGAATACATTACATTATATAGTAGATGCCTTTTCATCTTATTATAATGGTTTCTATTAATATCACTTATTTTAATATCTGAATTCTTAAAAAATACTATTCTTATATTTCTTTGTTCTACTCTGGAAGTTTTCTGATTAGACGCATAGTAGATGTATTTAATAATCGCATGTTGCTTGAATCGAATGAATAAATATACCAATGAAACCTTGAACCGAAATTCATTTTTATTATATATTTTTTTATTATTTTCAGGTTTTTCCCAACAAGAAAGACGCTTTTCCGAAACCAGCTATAATTTTATCAGATAGAGCACAAGTATTTTTGCAAGCAGCTTTACGTGTATTTAACAATGAAAGTTATCAGAATTTTCTGGCACGTTCTTATCGTATTGTGACCAATGCAGCTACTTCTGATGATTTATCAAAAACTAACATACACGCCTGCCTATCGCACTTTATGATGGTAAGAATATGCTTTCAGTTGATTAACTTTAGGTTATTGTTTTTACAATGTTGTAGGATATGAGAAGACGCGTGAACAAGTATTTATCCGAAGATATGCGTGAAGTTGCTATGTGGTCCATCGCTCTCTTGGTGAATACGAGCACATGGTCAGAAATAAAAGAAAATTGGAAACTCATTTGTCAAGTATTTTTAAGTTATTCGACAAACAGTAATTTGAATTTCAAATGCCATCATGCAAAGCTTCTTTCACGAATTAGTAAAATTACGAATGATCCAAATTCTACAAGAGCTATTAATCAATCAAATAAAGTTTTGTCCAATACCAATGATCCATTTCTATTCGGAAATGAAGATGAACTT